TGGTCCTGCTTTGGTCCATGATTTCCCCAGCTTAATCCTTGTCTTGGTCCTGATTGAGTTCAGGTGCACCCTGGCTTGGTTCCCAGCTGATGCCTAAACACCCCAGCTGGGTTCTTGGCTTCATCCTGAGCTGGTCCCTGATCACCCTGGCTTAATCTCTGTTTTGCTCCTGATCCAGTCCTGAAGTATCCTGGCTTGGTCCCCAGCTTGGTCGTGATGCAGTCTTTGAGCACCCTGGCTTGTTCCCCAGCTGGTCCCTGAGCACCTTCGCTTAATCCTTGATTTGGTCCTGATCCAGTCCCTGATCATCCCAGTTTAATCCCTGACTGGGTCCTCATCCAGCCCCCAAGCACCTCAGCTTGTTCCCCCGTGCCAAAGGCATCCAGCACTGCCGTGTTTTCCTCTCCCTGGACACATGGGAAGAACGGCAGCTTGGGCTGACACGGGATCAAGAGTTTGTCCCCATCCCCTGGGATTTGGGGTGTCACTGATCCTCCCCTCTCACCCACACAGCCATGTGCCCTCAATCCCATCCCTCCCAGAGGCAGCTGCTGTGGGGGGTGTCCCATCCCTGCCATCCCTCCCATCGCTGCCATCCCTTCCCACCCTGCCCTGGCAGTGCTGGCTGGAGGGAGCAGAGGGCCAAGGCTGGAGCTGGTGCCTCTGCAGAGCTTCCAGCCTCGGCATCAATTATGGATGCACTTCCAGAGGGTATTAATAAAGGCCTCATGCATCATTCATGGCCCGTGGCACGGGAAAGCTCGGCTCTTGTGCCTGGAGAGATCCGACATCCCGTCCCAAACCGGCCCCTTCCCAAGGGAATCCTGGGGGCTGAGGTCCCCATTAATCCCATCTGGGGTGTCCCCCCAGAAAAAGGGTTTTTCCTGGTGTCTGGGGTCACCTGCAGCCCATGGAGTGCTCCTTGCTCAGGGTGGGGCTCCCACATTCCCGGGATGGTTCATCCAAAGGTCAGGAGCACCCTCGGGGTCATCGGCAGTGTGAGATTTTAGGGATGGCTCTGAGGGGACATTTAGGATTTCCCCCTTCACCAGGTTTCCTCCTGGCCCTTTCCCACATCCCACCTCTGCTCTCAGCCCCCACATCCCCTGCCCAGCCTCCCACCCCAGCTCCAAAGGTTCCTTGCACCCCATGGTGAGCTTCAATTTTGATGGGATAACTGGGACAGTGAATTTTGCCGGGATAACTGGGACAGTGGATTTTGCTGGGAGAACTGGTGTTTAGCCCCGGAATGCTCCAGTCCACATGTTGGCAAAGGGCTGAGGGGACATGAGGGAATAAAACAGGGAGACCCCTCTTTCCTTCATAGCACAGTCTGGGGGCAGATCCCCCCTCTCCAGGGGACAAAATCCGCCGGAGAGAGCAGCTTTCCAGCCATCCCTCTTCCCTGCCTCACTTTCCCCCTCTCCAAGGAAAGGATGATTGTCCCTAAAACACCTGAGCATCCACGACAACTGCCCTGTTCCTGCTCCCTCCATTCCCATGGGAATCTTCTCCTGATTAATTGAAGCCAAAGCTCAGCGTGCCCCCTCCAAGTATCTCCCAGCAGAAGGACGGGATTTTGGGATTTCATGGTTTTAACTGATTTTTAACCACCAGAGGAGGGAAGTTCTGCCGTGGGAGACACATTCCCCGGCTGCAGCGTCGTCTCCAGCGCCATCCAGCCTCTGGTATTCCCAGGAGAAGGGGACCAGCGTCTCTCCAGCATTTAAAATTCCAAAAGGAGGGAAGAGACCCCCAATCTCACAGGGGTCCATGTCCTGCCTACCTGGGGGCGCCTGGATCTTCTCCAGCCCTGGGAATGAGCCAGGTGGAAAATGGGGAATGGGCAGGCATCTCATCCCATTTTTTTGTGGGTAAATCCAAGGGCACACGGGGCATCCACATCCCACTGGGGACCGGGAGCCCGGGATGGGGGCTCTGGGATGGGTTTGGGGACCCCACAGGAGAGGGACAGATCCCTCCAGGACTCAGCCCCATCGCAACAAACCTGGAGCCACAATCCTTTTTTTTTGGAGGGAGACCCATCAGCAAGGACTCTGCTCTGTCCTGGGACAAGACCCTTCTCCCAGGATAAGCCCCCACCTGGGGATTTGGGAATGCTGAGGACGAGTGTCACCAACCCCCTCCCCGCTGCACCGATGGATTTTTCTCTCCCTGCTCATTATCAAACCACCTTTTTCTCCCCCAAAACGCAGCAGCAAGAGGTTCCGAAACCCAACGGGAACACGGGATGGAAAAGGCAGGAAGCAACCCTGGCGAGGGCTTGGATCAGCTCAAATCTTTAATTAGAAAAATAGACACAAATTTGGAATATTCCTGATAGAGGATTTTGCTTTTTTACAAACAGGATAATAATAATAATAATAATAATAATAATAATAATAATAATAATAATAATAATGACATCACCTTTCCAAAGGGCCTGTCAGGCACTGGTTGCCAGAGCCTGGTGGCATCTCTCTCCTTGGGGAGAAAGGACCTGGTGCAGCCACGGCTCCGACTGTGCCATCTGGAAATCTCCAGTCAGGAGCATCCTGCAAAGTCCTGGCAGGGTAAATCACGGCTACAAACACCCAGTGTCTGTAGGTTTGGGGATAAAAAACCCACCTTTCCGTGGATTTCTTTCTGTCCATGTTTTTTTTTTCCTTTCCCCCTCCTTGGAACCGGAGCCGTGTAAAACACAGGATTTGGAGA